AAGTAAAAATTACTTTTTACAAAAGTGGTACTCTTGTACAAGTAAAAGAAGCATAGTAGAACAAGAAGAAATTTATCATTTATGAGCAGCAAAGGAGACATTACTAAGACACTTTTTTTACTGTCCCAATCATAAACCAATGTCATTTTTTAAATAGTAGAGGGTTTTACGGCGCTCGCAACCGCATAAGGTCATATGAGCGCCAAGGGTGGGTGTCAACAGAGAAGTCTTTACAGGGAATCAGACTTACTCTGCTCACCTCTCTAGCTTCAACAGCACAAGGTCTGCTTCAACTATCAAGGCACCCCAAAATAGCAGGTCACAAGAGTGTGACCAACATACAAAAGAAGTAGAGGAAAATGACAATAGTAAGGAATAGGAAAGAAAAAGCAGCAGTCCCCTTTTGTAGATCAGGCACAGTTATGAGCGTGACATGAATTAGCCCATTTACAATTCTACTGTGCTTGAACGAGAAATGTACCCCTTCTGGGAATGGCCTAAAGACACTACAGTCAGTGGCACTGCCCCGGGGGGAGAACAAATGCCAGAGCCAAAGTTAGTCCAATTGACGTTAAGCTGTACAGACTGAGCCAAAAAAACAAACCCCAACTTCCAGAAAACAAACACCTCTATACAAACAACAAGGCTTTTGCATGCAGGTTGGGGGAGAGTGTGTGATGACAGACGGGCATTCTAAAGTGTAGGAGACGGAAACAACAGGAAAGAGGGGTGGAGGTGATGGGGGCGAAGGGTGGCGAGCACACACATGAGCTCTGCAGAGGGGGTCAATCGCTAAGTGGTCTTCGATTGGTACAGTTAGTTGCTTCTCTTGTGAGGTCGAAGCATCTGATTTTCTTATTTTTTTAAAAGCTAGCCCATCCACTGATCATCCCCCCCCCCTTTTCACATAGGCAGCATTGTGCAAAGACTTCCGTAAATATTTGCGCATACAGGTTGATTCTTAGAATGACTTTGCTCCTGAAAGTGAGGCTTTTATTTGATGTCACTTGTATAAGATGGATGTTGACATCAGTTAGAATTAGAACAGTACTAAAAATGTAATTTAATGTAGATGTTCTACACCCCCCCTCCCAAAATACACACACACAAACACACACACACACACACATCAAGATAATTTAGGAGGCGATCTTCGACCCTGCCTGTCAAGGTCACCCCAGGCTGAGGTGACAACAACGTCCCAATAGACAGAATGAGATCATCGTCATCATCATCATCATCATCATCATCGTCATCATCCAGTGCCAGATCTGCGACAGACATCGGCGATCATGATTTTCCATTCATTCCTTTGCTCGGATGCTCCCAGAAAAGCTACGTTTCCCTGATCTTTCCCTGTTACCCATTTATTTAGGTTCCCTAAGTATGTTGTTCTGGGCCTACCCCTGCCTCGCTTGCCCTCAATTTTGCCAGTGAGAGCTACAGAATGAGATACTCTATAAAAATTCGCCTCTCTCAAGAATTGAACTCACTTTTTGCAAGCAACAGCAAAGCCCCAAACCGCCACACCACAGATGTTGGTAAATTGAAGGTTTATGGAAAAAAATGTTTGGCTGACCTTATTTTATATTTACATATGATATGTCTTTAGTCTTGATCAAGCAGGACCTGTCCAGTCTAGCCGTACCTAGGTTAGGCCCTATTGAACGAAACCTGTTGAGTACACAGGTCTCATTAGTAATTATTCAGGTTTAAAATACATGCACTGTCAGTAAGGCACCTTTTGGTCTCGTTTCAAATACAAATACATGTACTTGAGGCACTTCAAAATAAAAACTGATTTACAATTTAGTAGGCCTATTTTTTGCTGTTTGCCAGCCTAGCCATCCTTATTAAGTACAACTAGCCTAGCCGTCATTAAGTATGGCTAGCCTAGCAGTCTTTTAGCCGTCATTAAGTACAGCTCTAAGCCTCTTCCACAATTTTTTTAGTTGATGATAGTCTACCGTGATGTTGTGGTCTACTTGACAGTCTACCATCAGACCAGTCTGACCATTAGTCTAGTTGACAGTTAAGTTTGATAACCATAGATCTGGTCACTTGCTGTCTCGACCTACTAAACTTGTCAATCACCTTTCCATCCCAAAATGCAGTATTTCACCCATCCACACACTGCAAAAATACCACCGCTTCCATCTAAATGCCCCCCCCCCCTCCCCCGTGCTGTCGTTAGCTCTGGGCTCTGTCTTAGCAAATAGACGAGATAAACAATCACCAATAATGAAGACTGCATCACAGCAGTGGCGGGGCTTAGTGAAGGGCTAAAGGGTTTAAGCCCCACCCACTCCCACCCCCCAACTCTTTCCCTCTGTAAATGAAAGTTTCTTTTAATAAACAAGATAATCAGTTGAAACCGTCGTTACAACTGTTTCAGAATCTTCCGCCTTCGCCTTTACTTGCATGCGGTGAACACACACGCTTGCTCATTTATCAAATCACAGTATAGTCACCGCTTACAACGATAGTAACCTAACAGCCAATCAAAAGTGTTTAGGGTTCAGCAAAGGATGAGCCCATTCCCACGGTCCTTATTTAATGAAACTCTTCTTGAGAAAAGGAAAAAGAAACAAACAAGAGCCCGCGGAAACTGTTGTTAGAGAGGGCTAGTTCTCTGCCAGCCCAGACAATTGGGGGAAAGTTCATGACACACTTTCCCCAGAGCCCCAGTAACCAAAACACGCTCATGGGCCCACATTTTAGAAATGCCTTGCTTTCTGCGACCTCACGGCCCAATCCAGTTACTGTTGTATGTGTGCGTTTGCGTGTTTAATTAATTAATTAATTAATTTTTTTGGTAAGTGTTTTGCAGCACTCACAACTGTAAAAGGTCTTATATGAGCGTGTTCGCATGAGAGTGTCTGATTGAAACATCATCATTGCCTTTCTCACCCTGGGTCAGGATATAGGCCACGAACAAACACTCTCCACCTTTCCCTATCCTGGGCTAGTCGCTTGATTTCACTCCACGTCTTCCCACTTTTCTGTACATCCATTTCCATGACTCTTCTCCAGATTCCACGAGGTCTTCCCCTTCATCTTTTACCCTGTGGGTTCCAATCTAACACTTTTCTTGTTATGCTGCTGCTTGACTTCCTGAGAGTGTGTCCAATCCATTGCCAACGTCTTCTTCCCACCTCATCTCTGACCGGGCTCTGTTTGGTTCTTTTTAATACTTCCTCGTTGGTGATCCTGTCTGTCCATTTGATCCTCAGCAGCCTCCTCAGACACTTGTTCAAGAAAACCTGGATCCTCTTTATGCATATATAAATATATTTAAATGTTTTATGTTAGAGCGTACATTCCACCAAAACCGATTACATGTACTTACTGACACTGGCAGGCCCCTTAATGTGTGTGATTCCATAATTTACATGTAATATCCTGTACTTTGTTTTAAAATTACGCACATTTAGGGTTAAAACAGCCAATCTTCTTCGGACAGGTGGACTCACGGACTTATTTGTTAATTTTTGTGGTTGTTTATGGGCTGTTCTAATTTTGATTTCATTTGGTTGTGAAACCTTTCTACTTTCTTTTTCACGTTTTCACATTCATCTAAAAATCTGTAGACTAGCTCTTGAAAATTGAAACAGATGTAGACCTAAAAATTTGCTCCTGTGTGTGTGTGTGTGTGTGTGCGTGCGTGTGTGTGTGTGTGTGTGTGTGAATGCATATATGCGTGTGTCTGTGTGTGGTAGTATTAAGTGTTTAAGTGGAGAGTGAGGAGCGTGTGTGTGTTTGTTTGTCGGGCTTTATTTCAGCCATTATTCAGTAACAGTTCAAAGTATACAAAAAGAGAAACACAGGATCCATTCACTCCAGGGCTCATGAGTCGTTCCTCTCTTTCAGTTTCACTAATTCATTGAATTCCCGTGTTCTCTCCCGCGGCTCATCCCCGTCCGCATGATTTTCACATCCCACCCCCTCCCTCCAGGCACACACAAAGAAAATCTCACTCATTCCCTTGCACCCTGCGAACCATGGACAATAATATTAGTATTAGCAATACACTGCCTTAGCCACATTCCTTTCGTTCGTGAGCTGTGGACCAGGCCAGGGGGAGTCGGTGTCGTCGCCTTGTAGTTGCTGTCGCCTGTGGATACACTCGTACATTCTTCCTTTCACCTGCTCTGTCACTCACACTGTCCCTCCATCCACAGCTCAGCTCGTCATAATATCATGTTCAAAAGTTGCCCACTGATCATGTTTAGTTAGTGTGTGTATAAGTTTGTGTGTTGGTGGTGGGTGTGCGGTGGGTGTAACTAAACGAGCCGTAACTGACAGTTGTCTGAAGGCGGGCTTGCCATGCGGTGTTCCTTCCCAGACCAGAGGCAGAATGAAAGTTAGCGCCGAACTCTCGCAATAAATAGGCAAAAAATCACGAGACCGGAAGCCAGAAACCGTTCAGAGAAATAAAGATCGGCACTATTTCTCCGAACGTTCGGAGAAATAGTCACTTCGAAAAAAAATCCCTCCACTCCCCCCCCCCCCCCACTAGATCTAGAAATAGTAGATCTAGATATTAGATCTATATCTAGACTACATCTAGATCTAGATCTAGAATCTAGATCTAAAAACCTAGATCTAGATCTAGATCTAGATCTGGTATTAGGCTAATCTAGATTTAGGTTCAGTCTTAGAGATCTAGGCTAATCGGCGTGCCGGCTAATCTACCTCCATCAAAAAAGCCAAGAATTAAGAATTCATGCTCACCTGACAGGATTTGAAATCACTCACACTCACTGGCCACTGGCATGTAGATCTAGATCTCGATATAGATCTAGATCTATTACAACTTGATTGATGGAGCAAGGGATGGGGTGAGGCGATGTGATGTTTGTGTGGCCAGATCGAACGGCAGTCGCAGTCGGCAGTCTTGAGTCTACTTTTACTTCAAACTACAAATAGTCGTGCAAATAGATGAATGTTAGTTTCACACTAAATGTGACCCTAATAAGAATGATTATTTCTAAGAATAGGTGCTGACAAATTCCGTGTTCTATTTTGGGATGGCCTTCGGTTCTTTGATTTTGTACTCGCTTGTAGGGCCTACACAAAACACACAGCCGACCAAGCAACTGCCTGACCCTGAGCTCTGGATCCAACAGTAGCCTTGGTCTATTTTTGTTTTTGTTGCGAGGAACGAGGCGAAAAAGGTACAAGGCTTTGGATTTATATTTTCAAGCGACTGGTTAAAAGAATTGTTCTGTTCGCTGCCACAATTGTTGTTGTAACTATACTAGATCTATGTGATTATTAGCAAATATTTGGGCGGGGATTGGTGCAGAACAGGACTTGTCTTGGCTGGCTTGGGCCTGGGGTTAGCAGTACTGGAAGAGCATCCTTCATGTTTGTTTACTTGCCTCACTTTTACTTCAGGCCTAGAAATATCTAGACTAGAATTAATCTAGATTCTAGATCTAGATCTAGATATCTAGATCTATATTCTAGATCTAGAATCTACCTGTTTTTTTGGCTTTGTCCAATCTGCTTGCACAATACAAAATGTTGGAATTTTAGTAGAGTTCTGTTGCAATAGATAGGGAGACTAGAGATCTAGGGCCTAGATTTTTAGAAAAACCAAGTTCTTCAGAGTCAGAGTTATAATCAATGACAATGAATGAGGCCATGAATGAATGAGTGCGAGTGACGCGAGGTGAGGCTCATCATCCAGCCAGCAGGGTCTGTAGCCTATATAATTAAATAAGGCTAGATCTAGATAGCTTAGCCTAGGCTCTTAAATTTAAACGTCTTATGATTGAGTGTACAGAAATCACAAGTCCAAAAAAGATATAGATCTAGATCTATATATACTATTCTAAATCAAGAGACGTAAAATGCAAGTCCAAATTTTTTAAAATGCTAATAATTAGGCTAATCTAATTTAAATAAGAACAGTACAAAGAAGTCAAGCCTTGCCTGTCTGTACAAGACCACACGATTTTTAAAATAACAATGGCAGCATGAGAAAAAGAGTGTATGGAAGTGGATCTCATCGACGAAGTTGTAGGCCTAGGCCTATATATATATACTTAAATCACAAAAAATTATTTTGTGTCATTACAGATTGTGTGTGTGTTTGCCTGTATATATAGATCTATGTATGTGTCTTTATATATAATGCCTAAATGTATGGGTATTTATGTATGCAAATCAAGATGCATAATTTTGTCAAATGTGTATATTAGAGGCCTATAACTATATACAGTATAATCCACTTAGATCAATATCGACAGCCGATGTATCAACATTTTGTGGAGAGGTAAAATTGTGGTTTTCTACTAAAAGCCCTATAAGTGATTAGGTGAAAAAATGAATTTAAAAAATATAGTTTAGTAATATTATTACCCCAGTACTCAGAGGTTTTGGACTGAAGCAAGTACTTGAGTATTCAAAAACTACTCAAGCAAGTATACTTACAAGGATTAAATATTTGAGTACTGAAGTTGATTCGAGTACTTGCGCCATGCACTCCCATAGTAAGATCAGTGTACTTATATAATTTTTTTTGTTCTCTTTATTTCAGAGAAGTTTTAGTGACTGGTAATTAGAGCCAGGCTCTAGTTGTCTTCAAGCTGTGAAAATGGAGGATGGTTCAAAGTGTTGTTTATCCCTGGGCTTGATTGTCCTTGGAATTGGTGTTCTGCTGACATGCATCCTTGTGCCGATGAGCTTTAGTGGATTAGAATATTATGAGGTAAACTAACTTTGACATATATATCCATGAAAAATTTTAAGAACATTGTGTTTTACTTAACTTTCTGTTTTAAATGTTGTCTCTTCGTATTATAGGCAGGCGTGGTTTGTCCATAGAGCACGGTCGTGCAGTGCCACCCCAAATTTTTTATTGTTCTTTTACGTAAAGCACCCACAATAATAAAATAAAAGATGCCAGAAACAAACGCTAGTCGAATATATCAAAACAAGGGCCTTATAGCTGGCGCTCTAACTAAACATAATAGGAGATTCAACAGTGGTAATCTGACCTATAATTCGCTCTTTGGGATAACCCAAGCGATGACGACACTCGTAGGGAGTTTGGCGGTACATTAATATTAATAAGTCGGCACATCTCAATGTGCTCCTGCCGAATAGAGTCGAAACATAGCCCACAGTAGGCAGTCTAAAAATAAACGCCATATATACTGTACACTATTCTATGCCAAAATTATGTGAGTCCCGGAGCAATCCAGCAGAGTGCTCAAGTGAATTCTGATTGGTTCATTGTCTTGCCACTAGGCTATTTTAAGTGACTCTGTGACCGTGAACCTGAGTGAGGTGAACGTAACATACTCAAGTCACCGTCTTATGATTTGTGTCTTTGATTGGTTTTGTTGTGGAGTGGTGAAAGTTATTACTTGAGTGTTCTATTCTAATGCAGAATGTTTAGCTAACAAAGAGATTTAGTTCTAGAAATCAAAGCGACAAATAAAAGGAAAAAAATAAAAGCACGAACTCCTCCCTCACCAACCAAAAGATCCTAAAACTATACACCATCCCATTTACTATGCCCTTGACTATCTTCAGCCTGTGATAGCTTAATTAATTGTGCAGGCCCACTTTTTAGCCCCACGAGCCGCCCCTGATTATAGGATATATGAATAGTCTTTGTTTCTCTCTCTCTCCTCTCCCCTCTCTCTCTCTCTCTCTCTCTCTCTCTCTCTCTCTCTCTCTCTCTCTCTCCCCTCTCTCTCTCTCTCTCTCTCTATCTCTCTCTCTCTCTCTCTCTCTCTCTCTCTCTCTCCTCTCTCCTCTCTTCCCTTTTTCCCTCTCTTTCTGCTTGTACGTCTAAGTAACTAAAACAAAACAAACAATATTTGTTTGATCTCAGTATGGCTTCAAGAAACAAAAGAGCACGGGCACAGTGAATACCGAGAAGGTGTATGGTGTGGGGAGACACATGGTTGGCCCCGACTATGAGTTCAAGATTTTTCCCGCCAGCGCGCAACATGTGTCCCTCACACTTGATATTTTCACAAAGGACAAGCTGGAGGTGAATATTACACATTAAAAGAAGCTTTACTTCGCTGTGAATAACCCAAATATTTTGGTCTTGAATCTATGTTTTATTAACCTTTTGGCTGTTTGTTTTTTTTGTCATGTCAGCATTTGGTAAGTTTTTTAGAATATACTGCCGTAATTGTCCAAGAAAACCACCTGTTATCGAGAAAAAAAGTGATTGTCTTACATAGTTGGATATCTTGGACAGCAGTGTTATTATTTTTTTTTAAACACCAAGGGGGAAATGAGAAGTTCTGTTCTACTAAAGAAGCTTTCTGCAATTAACTCAGAAATCCTTTTTTCATAATCCTTTTGAGCAGTATACCTCAATCAGTGTAATGAAGTACTGGGTTGTTGTTTTTCATTTTGTTGTGTATTACTTGTCTTTGTAGGGATAAAGGAGACACCATGTGATAATTATGTTCAGCTTGGGTGCATTGACCCACTGACACCTTGAGTCTTTTTTCCCCCATTCTATTCCAGATTGAAATCAAAATATATTTTCAATATTTCTTACGGAAAGAAGACCTGCCTATTCTACACAAGTTTTATGATTTGGTCTATGAGCCTACCATCAAATCTAGTGCTGTTGCAGCTTTGAAAGTGAGTATGGCTTGACACTTAGAATTTTAAGGTTGATACTCTCATATATGAGTCTCAATAAAGTTGTTCTTGAATTAATAGTCCTGTCTTTTTTAAGTGGTATGAGAATGATGGGTCGCTGACAGAGTAACCAAGATGATAAAAATTACCATTTTAAAAAAATTTCGAAATATGTATTCATAATAAGTCAAAGCTATGATATATAATATAATAGCAACTAAAAGTGTCATAGGAAGATGAGAGAGAAATAATAGACTTGACAAAATGATGAACTTCTTGAGTAAATTGAATGCGATCATGATAAAATTTATCAGTGCCTGAGCAGCATTTTAGACATACAGAACATGGTTTTCCTGATATCTTCTGTTTATAGATTGAGGCCCCTAAGTACTCCACCCTTCAGTACATTCAAGACCGACGCAATGTGGAAGCCGCCCTCTTCACAGTTGTGAGGGAGAGACTAGGGGGTAAATGTTGCCAACAAGACTGCAAGTCCTGGGTTTATGGTAAGTTCTATGATAGGCTACAGATATTCTTAGATTTATCAGAATAATGTGGTTGACAGGGAATGGTTAATTAATTCTTTAAAACTGTAAATTATTATGCCCAAATCAGCATAGTTTAGATCATCTAGAGGCAGACTGCCTCAACCTGGACTGTCAGGGGTAACTCAGGCTGAGTGGGCTATCACATCCCTGAAGACAGACGAAGATATGCGTGTAAAAGTCCCCCACTCAAGAACCCAACTCTTTTCTTCTGCGTGCAGTGATGAAGATCTTAAGCACAGAACTAAAGATACCATTGGCAACAAGGGAAGGACAACAAACATGGCAAAGTGTTTGTTGCTATGAAGATCTTTTGGAACTTACTTTGAGCTGTCAAGCATGGTCAAGTTTGCATCATGTTCTTTTACTCAGTCTGAAGAGTTTTTTCCGGTTCACAATTACATTATCCGCACACAATCTTTTATAGACTGGGGAAAGTTTGACTGCAAATTAAGAAAATATTCTAGATTTTTGAAAGGGTGAGGTCAGATATTGTGTCAAAGGATATGATGTCCATATTAGATTAATCAGTGTTATAGGAGTACAAATACATCCCAGCCAGAGGGTCCAACCTGCCTACTACTTTGTGTTTGAATTTGGGTTTTATACTCCTCCTGTCTGTTCATTGAACTATTATTTGGGCCTTTTGATGCTATGTGTCATGTCTTAAACGAACTCTTGAATTTATCCTCGAAGCACTCAATTTCATGTGTGTGTGAGTGTGTATGTCTGTATGTGTGTGTGCGCGCGCTTGCATGTGTCAGTGATGTTGTGCCGTAGATCAGAGTATGTCACTGGTAGGATGTTCTTTTCTACTCTCCCTCTATTATTTTAGTCTGTCTCTTTTGTTTCTTCCCCACCCTAAACGATCATTACGGTGTCGATGCCCTTCTCTTTACTCAATCTACTGGACTGGACTGACTAAAAGTGACCACTGTTTTCTTGCCTACAGCTTGCCCATCCAACTGCATACCCCTGAGCCGCTGTGATGCTGACAAGCAGAAAGGCCTTTGGGTGGATGTAAAATTCTTCCAGATGGGAAGAATTGAGATCCCTGATGATGTCGCTGACCGCTACCTCAAGGCCTTGACCTTAAAGGAAGAGGTGGCTCGGGAGGAATTCTTGCAGGAGGCAGCCGTTGTGAGGAAAGGAACGGTGGCTTTGGTGAGTGGAAATGTTTAACTTTTTATGTTTATTCAAATGTTTGGCATTCAATATATGTAAAAAGTTTTACATTTTATGATTTTACAAATGTTTGACTTCTGCTCTTTGGGAAAAAGGTTTCACTTTTAATGTTTATAAAAATTAAATGTTTACTTTCGCAGGTTGCAAAAATGTATGACATTTGTTGTTTGAAATTATTTTCTAATTTGTTTTTCTGTTTGTAAAATTTTGACTTTTGCTGTTTGTAAAAAGTGTTTTACGTGCTCTGTTTGTATATATATATTTTCTGGCTTTTTTTTTTTTTGGTCAATAAAAAGGTTGGTCTATTGTTGTGTCTAAAAAAGTTTGTCTTTTACTGTTTGACATTTTTCCAAGCAGATGGATTTTTCACTTTTTTCAGTCAGAGTCAGTGCAATAAAGATAGGTCTGCTTTAACTGTTTTTGCCCAGAGAGATTTTCTTCATCACTGTTTCGTGGTTGTTATGTCGCCCATCAGTTTGTTTGATTTTACAAAGTGGCAATGAATGTAAAACCTGTACCAATAAGGGTTACTGAAAATAACTTCTTCTCTGTCTTTCCCCCTCTGATGTTCTGTCTCTTGTAGAGCGTCGATGACTTTGTCAGATTCCAAAGATATTTAAATGACAATTTTTGTGAAATGGAGGAAATTTATGGACTTGATCAGGAGAAGGTGGAATGGCTGCAAGATTTATAATTTTGAGTTGAGGCTCAATTGGTTAAATAGTTAGTGCAAGAAATGCTGACAGTGATGTATTGGTTTTATTTCTTATAAAGTTTAAAAAAAAATTCAGATGATGAAGTAGAGCCCCGTAACAGTGACAATATTTTTCTTTTTATGAGTTACTTTTGTTCTCAAAGGATACAGATTGACAGATTAAGTGTTACCTTAGAGTCTAATAATAATTTGCTGATATGGACCTTGGCTGTAGTTCTAAAATAGTTACCTTTTTTGAGGGGCCAGTTCACAGCATTGTGAGTTGTTTAATTAAGAGGTGCAACTCTTATTCCAACTTGAAGTTGATATATCAGAAGAGAATGTTTCTGATAGAGCTACGAGCTCATGTACACTGCTTGCAGTGGGTAGGATTTCTGTTCTGTAATTTGATTATTATAGGAGAGCCACTTGTAAAACTTTCATGTTATTCTGGGAATACTGTCTCTTCCGCAAAATTTGTTTCTTGTGTATCATTTACAGTCTTTTTTCTATTATTTTGTATGACGTACATTATTTTTTATTTAGATGAGTAAGTTTGGGATAGCCTTCTATTTATTTGTTGCTTTCACAGTGTACTTTCATAGAAAGCTTTAAGCACAAACCCATTCACGTTTGTTATTTTTTTATGTACAATAATCTTTCTAGCCCCAAGCTGTATCAGTCAGTTACTCTGAGTCAAAGAGACACATACTGACTCTCAAATCTGTGAGAGTGTCAGCTGTAAAAAAGAACAAATAGATTTGAGTCATAGCAGTTAATTGTTACTCATTTAAAGAAAGGCTATGTTTGAAAAATGTGAGATTAAGATTATGCTACAAGTGAGCACACATAATTCTTGAAAAATTATCAATAAAACTTTTTTAAACGTAAAAGATCAGAAGACTGTCAAAGTCAAGGTTGACTCGCCATAGGCCTTTTGTTGAATGACTAGAAAAGCAAGAACTGAATACTGGTGTAATTTCAGGGTGGAAATTCATTACAAAGGACAGAAATGTCGAAGAGATTGAAGACTTGTCCGTAAAACTCTTCAACCACCCACTTAGTTTTTTTTCAACTATCACTTCCCTTGGTAAAGTTAGTCCTAAATAAAATAAAATGAATTTGATAAATGAATTATATTTTGTTGATACTAACATCATTTGAACCTGTACCAGGTCCATGACATCAAGAATCAGGCCAAAGAAGTGAGAGAGACAGCCCAGGCCCAGAGCAAGCTAATCAACACCGTGTCCCAGGCCAACTATACGGCCACAGTGGAAAAGGCTCGGTCAGAGGGACTGAAACATCTGTACCAGAGGTAAGGAGAGCTGCTTTGTGCCCCGTATGCCAAAGTCCAGTCAAGCACACACATATATGCACAAACTGAAACGTACACTCAGAGAACAGATTTTTAGGTTCTGAATTTTTTTTTCTTATACATATCTGTTCTT